CTCTTTGGTATTTTCAGTGTTGTAGTTTGTAAGGATTTTTAGGTTACATGCACATGTACAGCCTGACCTAATATAAGCTGTCAATAAAAGCCATAACCACACCCAGATAGCCACATAAAAGTAAGAACCTCTGGTCTTCTCTCTGGGGCAGCCTGGAATTACAAGATATTGTGAGTCTGTCCTACTCACAACATGGTTACACCTGGTGGAAACATCATATCTAATCAACATATACCTTATTCCACCTGAGGTGGACAGAACCATAACTTGCTCTATCTTAGGCTAGGAACTCACTTTCTTTTCCTCCCCACTAAACTCTGCTGAGTCTACAGTCTCTGTGCGCATATTATTTCATATTTTTACCAATTACTACAAAGGGCTTTTAAATACATTATCTCATTTAAGCCACATAACAATCCAGCAAGGAGACCATGTACTAGTATTCTCGTTTTATAGATGAAGAATCAAAAGCTGCAAGAGGTTAACTGGTTTGTCCAAGGTCCATGCCTCCAACTGACATCCAACATGCATTCTTCACAGCTTCAGATTCGGCCAAATTTCCACACCACCACACTGGTCCTTGGACCCTCCTACACAGTCCATCCTTGGTCCATCAGTCTCCAGATCTGACTCTTCATCATAAGCTCTCACACATTAGCCTCTTTCTTTCTATCACACTCCGGCTCTCTTCACCTCATCCTTAACCAACTAATTTATCTTTGCCTTTAGTATCTCATGTCTCCACCCTGCCCCACCCCACTCAACCAGATGACTCATCTGAAAGTACCACTTTGATCATACGTCTCTCAAAAACCACTGAATGCTCATTTGCCTGGAGAATCAGCCCAGAAGCTGCAGCAGTGTGTCACCCAGGTCAGAGCTGGCCTCCCTTTCTGGCCTCATCTCTCTGTAGCATCTACAGGAAGCCTCACTTTAAGTTAGTCTACTGACCATTCCCTCAACTTTCCTAATACTTTCCTTCCCCTCATCCTTGTTGTTATTTCTTTTTCACTTAGAATACCTTGCCCGCTAAACCACCACTCATTTTGAAATTCTGCACATCTTAAACACGGAACTCAAATTCAAATAGGGCATCTATCATATACTGTCCTGTAATATATTTTCCTCCACCAGTCTGTAAACTTCATGAGGTCCCAACTATGTCATAAGCCTCTTTGTATCACTGTAAGATTTAGCACAGGGCTCTGAACATCACAAGTGTACAATTAATGTGTAAAGTGCTTTGGTTAAATGAGTATTCAGGTGATAAACCACCTACCCATGCAAGCATATGGGTAGGTGTTTTGTTTTTTTTTTTTCAATTAGAGTCTGAAAAAAAAGATACACGCATGTAATGCCACACGTTTATTATAATATACACACACCCCATCTTTGACAATATCCACAGAGTTTTCCACAGTCTTTATGACAGAATGACAAATAGGAGATAATTAAGGAAATAACCTCATGATTTAGGTAACAATGTAGTCTACTCAATTAAGAATGCTACTTAGACTGTAAAATGGCGATGTCTCATAGATATTTAAAATTTTGTATTTCTATGTATTTGTAATATAGATGTAGGTTCTCAAGGATTAATAGAGCATTATGTCGTAAATCAGATTCTGTAACTGGGCTCTATTTGTTAGGCAAGCAAACCCAAAGGCAATAAAGTCCTGAAAAGTGGGATGAAACTTCAATAGAAACTCTATAACTCACAAAACTCTTTAAGAAAATGATTCCTGTGCAAATTCTACATCTAGTGATATGCATTTTGCTCTGCTGATGTTTATATGGAGGACACTTCTGCCAGCTGTGATTTCTTTTCATGTTAAATTCTAGCTCTCCATTTTGATTCATGATAATTTAGAATGTGGTTCCATCACATGTTGCTGATAGCTGACAACAAACATTTCAAAGACTACAGGGCAGATAGAAGTGGTTGTACAATGCGGGTCAGAAAGTATGCAAGAAAAGAAATCAAGAAATTAAGAAAGTATGCAAGAAAAACTCTCCTGTTTTATCTACTTTTATTTTTGGTCTTTGGCAATTGTGTGTATATATAACAGCACCTACCACATCTTCTCATTTAGCACAGGTTGGATTTGAAGAGCCAAAACAGGAAAATACTTAAGGAATCCTGAGACCATCAATGAAATAAATTAGATCTGCTCCATTCCCCTGTTCTTTATCCTTTATTTGAAAAAATACAAATATACTCCCCTCCTGCAATTTCTTAAACCTTCTCATACTGTAAGCAAGTGAAGTCATCAAAGGTCACTTAAAGGCACAACCTTATAAATCTGGTAAGTGTGAAGAGAAAAGGCCATGGTATAGTTTAATAGATTATGGGGAGACAGAGAACTATAGGAGTTTACAGTGAGTAAACACTCAGACTTTGTTGCACAAGTATCATTATGTGTTACACAAGACCCATAAGTACTAATCATTTAAAGTCATATAAGTATAAGCAATCCTTCAAAAATCAAGTATAAATATCATAGGAAAAAATAACCTATAAGGAAAAATTCAGAAATGTCTGAATATTTCTGTTTCTTGCACAAAACTCTATTGATCATTAGTCTGGGTTATCCAACAAAAATATGTGAGAACAAGAGAATTTTTGAAATAGCAATTTTAAAGTAACGAAATCTATGCAAAACAAATTTTAGTACTTCATTATACAGTTCATAAATCGGAAAAAAGCAATCCAGGCTGTTAGTTAATTAATAATTTCAGCAAATATTTTTCATGCAGTGTATCTCTAACAATAACTATTATGCAGTCTCTCTTTCTTTATTGAGAGAGACCCTTATATAACTAAATAATTTTCCATGTATAATCTCTGTGTCACCATTTGCCTCCAACTGCTTCAGAAGCCACTGTAATGCATCTATGGAAAACATGTGATGGGTAGTCTAAAATCACATAGGATTTAAGGGTACCTGCAGTGTGCTCATAATATGAATATTTACATGTCTAACCAACATATATTTAACCAAATAATCCTTTAAACTGTGACAAGATGAGAAAGTGACACTGTAATACAACAGACAATAGATTTTTCCCACTGAATTACACAGTACTTTTTCCATTGACAAATTCATCTCTTTCCAGAAATATACAAAAAGTTAATTATAAAACAGTAATAATAAAATGTTCATTAAGCCATCCAGACAAATCACCTTGTTTTTAAAATAATAACATAACCTTAGTGTCAACTGCATCAATGTACTAACTGAAAGGATTACTTTTAAACATTTTCATACAACAAAAGGCTGTGAAAAAATCTTATCATCCAAACTGGTGGCAGCTACTCGAGAGCCATTAAAAATTATTGTTAGTGATTTTAAATGACAACATTAAAAATTCGAGTCATTTAGAATGGGAATTTAAATCTGAAGTGAACAGTGTCTTCTGAATATAGTCAACAAGCTACAAAGCAAGAGCTCACAGTTAGAAGTTTCCAGACCTAGCAGAAGGAATTCATTTTACAGCATGGATCTCCGTCTGTGCTCAAACTATCTAAAGATATTTCTCATTTATACTGAACTTCTTTGAAAAGTACTGTACTGTTTCATATCCTCCTTTGTAACAAAATGTATTAACAAAACTTTTGGATTAGGTTTAAAAGCAGCTAAAAAAACTGGCTGATTTAGGCTCTAATTATCAGAAGACTCTGCTATCTGGAAGCTTTGTGCTCTCAAATATCAGAAACCCCAATAACTTATCATAAAAATACAAGCTCTTGGTTTTGAAAAGTATACAAAATGCACTGCACATGGGACTATCTCTTGATTGTCAAGGAAGACAAGATATGTGTCTCATTCATAGATTCATGTAGTGCTTGAATTTCAGTGATCTTTATATTTGCAGATTTCATTTTTCGCAGATTTAGGCAGCCTTTGACCTTTGGTGTAAGCACAGTACCAAAAATGGAGAAAGAGCAGCAGAAAGATGCACGTATAAATCATAATAATGTACAGAAAGACTGGAAACTGGTACTTGCAATCCTCCATGAAAAAGAACTGGCCTATGTGGATGGTGACAATGATGAACTGGACCTAACAAAGAAAGAATGAAAAATATTGTTCAAATATGAAGTGTCACAATGGAGCAATTATTTAACGCATTCTTTGCCTGTTTATGTTTAAAAACTCTCCAACCGCACTCCAGGCTTCTGTGGGTAGGGAATTTTATCTTTCAGTCTAGCTTCCAAGAGAGTGATAGTAGACGGAACAGTGTCAAAATCCAAATGAGAATTTGGAACCACTATTCAGTTCTACCAAAGTGCTCACTCCTGAAGGCCCTGTGTAAATGTCCCTGGAGCTCTACAGTGCAGCAGCCCTTTCATACTCAGAGAACCATCAGAGCAGGTTTTCCTTGCAAGTCTCTGACCTGAGTCCTTGACTAATGAAATGCATGCAGGACCACTACCTTATGGCCTAACTTTCTAGAACAGTTTCAATTTCAAATATTTTGTTGTTAGACCAGATATTTCAAATTGGGGGAAATGAAACATTCTAATTAGAGCCCCACTAATTTTGTAGGAGCTGAAACAACTCATATTTGCCATTTGTCCTCTATTGTCATAGATAAGAATATATCCTATCTGCCAAAAGCAGCAGAGACTCTGCAAGGAGTGAGATAGCATTAGAGACTCTCCTAGGGATGCCCAAGGGCTCTGTTTCAGAACATTATACACAGTCTTAACAGAGAGATTTTATAGGCTAATGCCCAGGTTTTTTGGATATCTTTTTTCTCCTGATTAAAAGTTGAGAACCATGTGATTTCACTTATATGTGGGATATAAAACTGAAAGCAACAAACAAACATGACAAATAAATAGAGACTCATGGACACAGACAGTGAATTAGTGGTTATCAGAAGGAAGAGGGGTAGGTAGATGAGGGTAAAGGAGGTTAAATATATGGTGACAGGAAGATTTAACTTTGGGTGGTGAATAATCCACGCAATATACAGATGATGTACTATCGAATTGTACACTTGAAACCTATATAATTTTATTAACTAATGTTGTCCCAATAAGTTTAATTAAAAAATAAAATAAAAGGTGACATATGTTCTGTGAATATTTTAGTAAAGTAAAAATCTATTAATAAAAATAAATAACAATTACCTATAATCCATTCAGTTATAACCATAGCTAAGAATTTCACATAGTTTCTTTTTACTATCATCATCGACTTTCCTTGCATTATCTTGAGGAACTTCTATGACATTCCCATGTAGTAGCTATAATTATTGTTCTCATTTTGCTAATAAGAGCAAATGAAACCTTAGGAAGCCTAAGCAAGATCCTCAACATCCTACGTTGGTGTGTTTGTGTATAATTGACACATTTGAAATAATGAACAAATATCTATTCTTTTTCTTTTTTCTATATAAGTATTTTCCCATCTTATTAAAAATTCTTTACAGCATTTAAGAGTATATTAAGTGAAAAAAAGCCTAATACAAAACTGTATATATAGTATAATACAAATTATACAAAAGGTGTGTATATGAGTGTGTGTGTGTGTGTGTGTGTGTGTATTATTATATATACATATATGAGAAAAGTTAAATAAGAGAATAAAATATTAGCTCTGATTATCCCTGGGCAGTGGAAGTAACGCTTATTTTTCTTTCTCATTGCTTAAGTAGATGTAATTATTCTTCTGTAATGAGCATATATTACTTTAAAATCAGAAAACCTACTTTAAAAGAAAGCAGCTGTGAGAATGGGGTGAAGGGTTAAAGAAGTACAAATGAGTAGTTGATAGTTGGGTACGGGGAGCATGACGGAGAGAATGTAGTTAGCATTAATATGATGGTTAAGCGGAGAGCCAGGGAAGGGAGGGAGCAGTTGTGGGGATTGTTTTATGAACATTATAAATGTCTAACCAATGTACTGTATACTTGAAACTAACTTAAAAAAATAAAGTTATATAAAAAAAGAGCACTAACTACAAAAAAAGAGAAAGAAAGCAATTGTGAATATTTGCATGACTTCATAATATTCTAAAGTAAGAATTAAAATATTTATTTCACCATTTCCTCACAGTTGGTTATTTAGGGTAATGTCAATTTTGGATACAATAAACAACTCTGCAAGGATATACTCTGATACTGATTTAATATCCTTACAGACTAAAATATCAGTTTCTTACCTGAGAGAACATCTTATGTGACTATGCTGAATTTTATTTAACAAGTTGTAGGATTTTAATAGAAATTAAGCTTCAGTAGGCTATCTATACTCAAATTCACACTTTCTTTTTAGTGCTATTGGCAGAATATGACACTAACTTATTATAGACTGGAAATCTGAAAATATGAGAATCAGAATTATTCTTTTAATAGAAGACAAAATTTAAAGTAAATCATCATCTCAATCTATGGTTACTCTTCAAAAAAATTATAAGCCTTATATTTTTAGGGTTAATGCGCAGAATGTATTATTAGGTCTTAGATGAGCACCTCTGCTCTTTTGAATATTGCTTACTTGAGGACAGTATTCTAATTTATGTTATCAGAAATAAAAACACTTAAAAAGAAAGCAATTGTGAATAATTTTCATGACTGTAATATTACAAAGTAGAAACTAAAATAAACCTATTTCACTGTTTCCTTATGTTTGGTTGTCTGGGGTTCTCAATTTTGTGTGTGTGTGTGTGTGTGTGTGTGTATATATATATATATATTTTACATCACCACTCTACACCTTTAATCCTCATAATACTTTTACTAGTTGGAAGAAAATAGATTTATAAATGTGAGAACTAGATAGGCAGGTACACAGGAAGGCTCAAAATTTCCTCAAAGTTATATTCCCTTAATGTTACTTAAATCTAGAATATGAGATTTCTAACTTCTAATCTATTATTATACCTAGTGAGGTTCATATAACTGAAATTATTTTGATCATAAATGTTTATTTTATATAAACACATAAAATAGCTGAAAGTTGGTATAAAGTTACACATTTTAGTTTAATTGTCTGAGCCTCTTGGCTACCAAATATGCTTTGTTTTCAACAAAGTTCCTGACAAAATTTTAAATAGCATAGAAATGATAATGATGTGATGCCATATAGAGGCCAGATACTACTTCCTCATTGTTTTGTAAACTTCATTATCTATTTATTTAGTATCCTAATTCACAGGGAAGACAAATAACTCTAGTTTAGTTTCATAAATAGTTTTAAAGAAAATAATTACTCACAAGCTGTAATGATGTCATATATTTTTTCCACCACAAATATTTCTGGAAGGCTGGTCCCAATGCACATAGTCCGTAGTAGGAATACATGACTACATGTACAGCCGTATTTAGCAAGGCATGGAATGTTCCCAAACCACCTGAAAAATAAAATTATTATAAAATGGGGGGACTGTTCCTTAAAATGAGACATATTTTTGTCTGAACTGAGACTTCAGTATATTTATTTCTTTACTTTTAGTGCAAAGAACATCATACAGTGTATGAAACATCAATCTGGTTAAACAGCTATCAAATTAAAGGAAGCTAGATAATACATTCATTTAGTAAAATATAAGATACAATCTTAGAAAATAAATTAGCAAGTCTTTATTTATTTTGTTAGATCTTGACTTAAGATAGTCTTATGATTTAGATTTAACAAACTAAGTTGAATTACTTTTTATTTTGCTAAATAATAGTAATCAGATTTATTTTTTAGTGAGGGTTAATATATATACAATATACAAAGTACATTAATCTTGTTAAGTTACAACTTGATGATTTTTTTACGTATGTATACACCCACATAACCATTACCAAATTCAAGATATATAACATTTCTAACACTAAGTAAGGTTCTCACACCCCCCTTCAAAGAATACACCCCTCCCAATGTAACATTTATTCTGATTTCTATCAACTATTAATTTAGCCTGCTTTTAAAGTTCGTATAAATGGAATTATACTGAATATACTCTTGTGCCTTTTAACCAACATGTTTTCAAGATTCATCCATGTTGTGTGCATATTAGTAGTCTGCCTTGTTATTGCCGTGTATTATTACATTATATGACTGCACCATTTATTTATCCATTTTCCTATTTAAAGATATTTGGATTGTTTCCAATTTGGTTAATTATGAATAAAGCCAATAAGAATACTTTTGAACATGTCATTGTATCGAATCAAATCCACCTTTTCCACTCTCAATTGTCCATAGACAATTTTAGTGCCTCAAAACTTTGTCAGCAAAACCACTGGTTTTCATTAGTAAGCTGTGCTAAAGTTTGCTTTCATTAATTACTGTTTTTCCAAAATAAACATTTATTAATTATTAAACCATCTTTGTTTACTGCTTCCATTTGATAATTATAAATTGTGCCATCCCATCTTGGTTTTTCTCTTCTAATTTCGCCACAGCTTTTATTGATCACATACAATTTAGAATAGAAGCAAAGAATGCAGGGGAATGTAAGCAAAGATCATTTCAATTGCCTTTAGCTGGACCAGTAGTACAGTGAAAGGGGTAACAGGATCAATAGTCGGTGGTGGGAGAAAAAGACAAAATTCTTTCCTAGCCACTCATTCCGCAGTGGCACAATCTATAAGAACCTGCATTCTTTATGCATAGCCTGATTCAGTTTAGCAATGTTGGCCTGAAATTTAAATTCTTTTTCAAAATATATTCTTTATTCCAGCATTCTTTAATTTCAGAAATAAAACAAAACCTCACAAATCTGAACTAATTATGTGACAAGGACCAAATTCACAAACACTATGAATTATAGAAAATTGAAAGCAAAATAAAAATTGTTGCATAGTAGAAACTAATTACTCTTTAATAATCATTCATAATTGCAGCAATTCTAGATATTATCATTGCTAAAGTATTCTCTTAAAATAACCTGTTTCAAATAATTTTAAGTTGCTTAAATATTCCCCCAATGCCTCATTTATGCATTCATAAATTTTCCCTTCCTGAACAGAGTAATAAAATTTCAGCTAATTCTTTATCACCAATTTCTAATCAGAAGAAACTAAATTAATGAAGTTTATAAACTACCTCACAGCTTTTATTATTTACATTTGGATTAGTCTTCTTTCCCAAAAGCAACTTGAATAAATAAATTATAGTGGTGTGAAAACACCTTTTCTATGATAACTTAAAATAGAATAGTTGTCTATTTCTGATAGTTTAGGAGTTAAGTTGCCTAACAGGAGGATAAGCCAAATCTCAAGTCTATTTGTGTCTCACGATTATATACACACAAAAAATCTACTGCACTCTTGATAATGAACTACATCAGAGCCTATCTCACTAAGACACCATTCCCATTTTTTGGTAGAAGAGTGTCTATTTCCCATTCAGAAGCTTTCGCCATTTAAATGTCCTAAAAAGAGGATCCTATGGAAAGGAATTTATCAAAGCACTAGTGTAAGGATTACTGCTGAAAATAAGCTATCAAATAAAATTAACTTGCTTATTTTCTCTAGTTACTATTTTCTGATGAGTTATTTTAATAATTCGTTCACAGAACAATCACATTTTAATTAGTAATGTTTTTCATATCTTTTTTGGAAGGCTTTTCTAATTTCTAAGCTTGCTTTCTTCTCTATAATAACAGTTCTGAAAAGCAAACGTCTTAGAATAAATTACAATTAGTGCCACACATTTTACTCATTTGGTTTGGGAAAAATAAAGGAATCACCTGGGTAATTATCATAATTCTCCATATCTCTGGAAGGGAGTTTGTGCATAATTAATATAAAAACCTGACACAGAAATATTTTCATTATATTCAAAAAAAAATCTGGATTGATAGTATCCCAGAGACTTGTACAATAGGCAAACAGGAAATTAAATACTAGATAGAGATCAATTGTGCTCAAGTCTTTGAAAGAGCAGTTTAAAATGGACCATTTCACTCTAGGAATGGAAGCCAATGTAAAACTACATTTCTGGAAATACCTCAGCTCTTATTGCTGTGCTTGTCACTGAATAGACATCAGGTATACACACGTTTATTAGATTCCACATGCAAGACTGAACAGAAATGTCTACTCATGGGACATATGAGAAAAAAGAAAATGTTATTTTCTACTGTTTACATTTTCTAAAGCAGAAGGGGGATTAGGGTGTGGACAATGAACCCACTACAAAGTGCTTGGTGTCCATAGGCATGGTAACATTAAAATATTAAGGAAAATATGTCTACGACCATGTTATCCTGAACGTGCCTGATCTCGTCTGATCTTAGAAGTTAAGCAAGGTCGGGTCTGATTAGTACTTGGATGGGAGACCACCTAGGAATACCAGGTGCTGTAGGCGTTAAAAAAAAAAAAAAATAAGGTATATCGTGTTTAAATTTTCGTTACTGAAAGCATTGTTTGTTTTGAAATAGAAGCCAGACTAGCAATGGACTCAAAGAAATTAGAAAAGTGCTCAACTCTATTTTTCAAATAAAATTTATTTTTCACATTATAGAATAACATATATGTAATGGAGAAAATTAGAAAATACAGAGAAAGATAAAAAAGGAGAGGGAAACCACTTTTTGTGTCCATATCTCTAAATCACTATATTTTGAGGTATTGCCTTCGAATCTTTTTTCCATTTATATCTAATTTTTCAATGTTGTGATATACTATTCTGGTCTCATGGGAAAGATCCGAATAGATAAATTATAAGGGTGTAAAAGAACCTTTTCCAGCATACTCCAAAAATAGAATAGTTGCCTATTTCTGATAATTTAGGAGTCAAGTTGCTTGAGAGAAGATACCAAATGCCTCTCAGTATGACTTGTGTTTCACAATTATACGCACACAAGAAATTATAGCTGCTTCTATTAGTGTAAGTTTAGGTCTTTTTCAATTTTTCATCAACACTGAGAGGGAAGACATGCATGTGAAAGAAAACAAAAACATAAAAAGTAAAGTGAAATAATGGAGATTAAAGAATACAGCTATCCTTGATTTGTGAAATGGACACAGATGAGACTATCTTATTACATTGTGAGTTAATTTTTTACATTTACATACATTATAAGAAAAAAATAGCTACAACTACTTGTTAAAAATCTTCAACAGATAAATGCTAATTTTGGGCAAGGATATACTTTACATATTGAAAAATCTGATGCCCTTGGCCATGGTAGAGACAGGCCTCCTGGGTTCTGGCATCTCTCTTTCGTGCTACTGGCTTATCCGTGTTCTCTCATGCTCTGAGACATGAGACATGCAGATTTTTTCCTTCCTGCCTAGAGAGTCTAAAACTCAAACAAGTGTTCTTCAATTGTGGTTCTTCTTTTCTTTTAGTCTTGCAGAGTCAGAAGGCCTAACAGAGGTGAGTTATTTACAGAAATGTTAAAGCATTGTCTAATATGGGCTACAGGCCTACTTAAAGTCTTCTTAAATTTAAGAAACTACCATAAATAAATACTTTGCCAAACAACTTTGCTAATAAGGATATGTCCTTGGGGATATCACTTATTGATAACTTTATGATAGGGTAAAATTACTTAACATCTTTTTTTCCCATTTTTGATGCACAAAAACATAAAAATGAAACCAAACAAAAGAGCCTATTTGTCAAGCTTTTGATTTAAACTATTTTTGACCTTAAAAAAACAATATAAAAGCATCCTTTAACATGGTAGGATGTTTAAAGGAAATCAAGAAAACTGCAATTTGACACATCTTTAAAGAGCTGTTAGGGGTTAGAGTATGTATCAGTTATTGGAAATTTGAAGACAAAGAAGACATGGAACAGATAAATCTGTTATTCTGGTAACAGATAAGGAATAGATATCTAACTATACTACAATATACCAAGGCTTTTATCATCTTATTTCTTTGTTTGTTTATTTATTTAAAGACATTTACTAGAACTCTATGAGAAAAGAATAAAATACAGACAAAACCACCAGAAAAATATGTGTAGAAGACTGTATCCAAAAGTCATTCATTTCTAAAGAATGGAGGATCTAGGTAAGAGTTCTATGTTTAGATTTCAAGTAATAATGAAAGTCAGAAGTTTGATCAAAGTGAGTCTTTGATGTTTTGAGTTTCTTTTAAATCACATTTAAGGATAGATCTTATGTTTATAGCATACAAGAATGTTATTATTTATAACACAGGATCCCAACTCTCCCTTGGCTACCTGCAGCAAATTTGACTCCAAACCACCAGGTCCATGGCATGACGGTATGATGAAAGACATGCAGAAAAGTCACTTGGCTATTCTTCTTACGCAGAACAAAAAATATCTGAAATAATTTAAAGAAAATCAAGTTCATATAAAATCATGCAATAGTTTATCTAATGTTATAAAAATATTGGCAAATATAAACTATTTCACATCATAACTTGCTTTGAAAGGATTTCTTTATGGAATGCTGATAGAAGCAGCTGATTCTCCAAGGGACAGTTCCAAAGCTAATTAGTATGCAGGAACTTAGGTATGAGGCCTAGTCATTGGAAAATCAATAAAAGGTAAAAAGATATTGTATGTGGACTTAAAAATCAAAGATATAAAGTGAAGAATATGGTCACAAATTATTGAAAGAAATGTTATTGTTAGGGAAAAAATCCACATGGATTTTGAAGTATATGAGAAAGCAGGGAACCTTAATTCTTAGGACTGAAATTATTCTATATCACTCTTTAACACATCCTACCAATTTAAAAAGGGATTAAGCAGACTGAAAGATGACTTGCAACACATCAAAAGTTAGGAAAAAACTTGAAGAATTAGTTGGCGAAATAGGATGGAAAAAAAGCAAAGCTTCCTATGAAAAATGAGAAGGGCAATGAAGCCACCATTCAGATCGAATGTACCCAATGGTTTACAGAAACTCTGCAAGCACAGGAGTAGAATAGAAAGAATTTGGGGGAAACTTTTTTTTCAAAAAATATTCAAAGGCAGAACTAAATATTCAGAAATATTCAAAATTCAGATGACGAGTGATGAGTTAAACTTCTAAATACAGCACTAAACAGAGTTACAGAAACAAAAGTATTCATAGGAGTACTTCAGAAGTGTGGTTTAAGTAAGGACATAGAGGCAGCAACAGTCTCTAATGGAAGCTAGAACTGAGAACATGCAAAGCAGAAACAATGAAGCCAAATGCATTTGCTTATGCACATGGAAAAAGGCAGCATTGTACAACAAAAAAATGGCATAAAGCAGCAACCTGGGGTCCTATTTCCAGTTAGTAGCAGCATTCCTTTGGGTAAGTCACTTAACTTCTTGGCTTCAATATATTTTCAGACTGCGGGCTCTGGACTTCAATAGATCAATAGTTCTCAACTCTGGCTGCATATTACAATGTCCAAGAAGCTTTTTACTCTACTGTAGAGCATCTGGCACCAAATCTCTAGGGATAGAGCCCAGGCTTTTTGCTTTGTAATGCAATTAAGTCTACTGCACCATGAGGGTTGAGAACCTCTGGATTACAGCAGGGGTTCTCAAAGTGTGGACATTGGACCAATAGTAATAACATCATCTGAGAGATTGCTAGAAATGCAAATTCTTGAGCTCCACCTAAGACCAACTGAATCAGAAACTCTGGGAGTGGGATATAGGTATTTGTGTTTTAAACAAGTTTTCCAGGTGATTCTAATGCATGCTAAAATTTGAAAACCAGTGGACTGATGCTATGCTCCCTAAAGTCCTTTCCAATTCTAACATTATGCATAGTCATCTGAGAAGGTAAAGCATGTTGAGATTTGCTACAAGAAATGCAGTGGTATATATTCTGAAAGGAGAACACAGTTGTTGGTCTTAGATCCAGGACTGGTTCCAGATAACTAAGACCCGCATGCCACAAAGATACAATAAATATCCACATTTCCTACTCTGGAAACAAAGGTGCATGGCTTTCTTCCCTCCTATGGACCCTAATCCATGGCATTTGTTTCTCCACAGCCCAGTCACCCAAATTCAGAGTTGATCCCCAAGCAGAGAGAGGACCCAGTAAGCACAGACTTCAGAAAGGCAGTTGGACGATAGTTTTGATATTACCAGAATTACTGATACTCCAGGGGTAACTTAATATTCTAGTCTAGATTTATGAATTTTGAGGCATTTATCCTCTGAGTATGGATGACACAGTGCTTCGGATTGCAGAACCAAAGGTAAAATGTTCTCTGCTCTTCACTTCCTAAACTTGCTTCACAAAACAGCTGTCATCGATCTACATAAAGACAAGGCCTTGTAGTGTATGTGACAGTTACATGCTTACCTAAAACATGTGGTGTATACATAAGAAAACCGTTTAGAATTTACGAGAGACTGAAAAATAAATTTATCCTACTTATTCTCTAAAATTACTGATAATAAAAAATAAAAAGGTAATAGTAGGTCTGCCTAAAGAGGAGAGAGCACCCAATTTATCAGACAGCTGAACTCTAGCAGTTTATTGCTTTCATTGAAACATCAAACATTTACCAAATATGGTGACTACATACAGTATCTAACAGCTCAATAAATTTGGAGATGTAATAAAGCCAGCAGGTTCGTGCCATCTGCAGAAAAAACGGATATGAATTTTATTTTTTTACATGGAAGAAAATGGTTTTTAAAATTTTGGCAAAATACACATAACATAAAATTTACCATCTTAACTATTTTTAAGTGTACAGTTCTATGACATTAAATACCTTCATATTTTTTGTGCAACCATCACCACCATCCACCCACAGAACTCTTTTGATCTTGCAAAACTGAGACTCTACCCATTTAACCAACTTCCCATTTCCCTTTTCTCCATCCCCTCACAACTACCATTTTACTTTGTCTCTAAATTTGACTACTCTAGGTACCTCATATAGTAGAATTATATAGTATTTGTCCTTTAGTGCCTAGATTATTTCACTTAGCATAATGTCTTCATAGCTCATCCATACTGCAGCATTTGTCAGAATTTCCTTCCTTGTTAAATGAAGGCCGAATAATATTCAATTATGTATATACACCACATTCTGTTTAACTATTCATTCATCAAGGGACACTTGGGTTGCCTCTGCTTTTTGGCTGTTGTGAATAATGCTGTTTCATATGAACACAGGTATAGAAATAGCTGAGTTCTTGCTTTCAATTCCTTTAGGTACATACCCAGAAGTGGAATTGTTGCATCATACATTAATTCTATTTTAAATTTTTTAAGGAAGCAGATACAAATTTATTTTTAAATCCAAGAAATTCAAAAAGAAAATTCCTGATTTTTATTTTACAGAAAACAATATACATGATTTTCTTTGATTTGTTCTGGTAATTTTTAGCTTTTTTTCTCTCAATACATATATTCTAATAATTGAGTCATTTACTCATTCTAAGTTCACATGAAGAGTCCAAATAGTTTTAACACTAATTTTGAGTTACAAATTTTTCCAAAGAGAAACTTACCCTCAATGCTGTAGGCGACCAGGAATAGTCAACGATATCACATCGAAATGAATAACCTGTACCCCAGCCAGACATCACAAACTGTAAGGCAACATACACGCATTAAAGAAGGAAGTATTTGCTCAAGAGCTACCTCAAAGGTAGTTTGGATTGTGTCTCTTGATTACATTCTCAGCTGAGTCAGCAGTCAGTGTAGAGGGAGAGGCAGGCTAGAATAATTACAAATTAGGAATTCACTTGATATCAAAGCAACAAGAATTTTTAAAATTGTAAACTCATATATTATTTACATAAACTGTGTTTGAACTAAAATGTCCGTTTCTTGGGAGAATTATTCTAATATAGTGGAGAACAAAACACTGGGAGTATTTTGCTTAAACAGCAAATGTTAGTGGGTATATGATACTATGTGTACATATATGTATATGTATATATGTCTGTGCCTATGTTTCTGTACTGTAAAGAGATAACTGGGTTTGAATTCAGTCTTTTCTGGTGATTTCCAATATTCCCAATTACTCAGTAAATAAATTCCTTAATGTACTCATAAAATGGCTGCAAGAGTTGTGTTTTTCTTGTCCTTGGCTAGTGGGTGTAATGTGAAATGGTAATCCATGGCTCTTAAAATTAAGGTTGACTAAACACGAGACTCAGATATTAGTTTTGCTTGGGTTCACAAGGCAAGTAAGAAAGAAAAATCTCAACAATAACAGTGCAGTCTAGCAAGCCTTAATTCCAACACACCCACGAAGTGACCTTAGACTAGTGGTGAGAAGAAAAAGCCTATTGTTGATAAGTCTGAACCATAATTCAAAGATCATATTGATATCTTTTCAGTCTGATGGTAGAAAGGTCTTCTCTCAAAACAGTATCTGAAAATGAAGATCAAAGGGCTATAATTTTAAATTAATGCCTACATTAAGTATTTGGCTTAATTTAGAGTTCTGACAATGTGATCTGTTCTTTCCTTCTCTGACACCCTATTCTCACAAGTGCCAGCATTTTCCCTAGAATGTTTTCTTTCTCAGTATAATGGTTACATCATTTTCTGCCACTGAAGTACATTTTGAATTCCTATTATTAATTTCTATTAAAGTTAAAATGACAACTTTACAATAAATTAACTTCTAAAAGCAAAGGTTTATGAGGCATTATCAAAATGATATTTTAATGGTAAAAAGAGAAGAAACAAAGAAGAAAGAAAAACTATTTAGATTGTGGTATTTTAAAACACCATCCTTATCTGATCAGTATTAGACTTACTAGAGTGATCGCTTTGTAAAGTATATAAATGTCTAATCATTATGTTGTACACCTGAAACTAACATAATAATGCACGTCAACTGTAATTGAAAAATAAATTTAAAAAAATTAAAATAAATAAAACATACCATTTTCTCTGAAACTAGCTCCTAGCTTGATTCATAAGATAACTTAATCACACTGTTAACATGGTAAGTTATAAAACCTTGAAAATTAAAATTTGGAAAATATAAATTTCATGAGTGAGAAAAATTTTACAAGTCAATAAATTTTCTCTAAGGAACAAGGGAATATGGTACAGAAATGGCTAATTCTGCTTTATAAAATCCTGATCTGCCGTTAAGCATCCTCATATTCTCTTGAGCTCAGACTTAACTTCTGACTGATCCAAGTAACATTCTAAGTCCATTTATTTAAACAGGGATGACTGATTCTCCACTCTTCCCTACCTCCAAACAAGCACTGCAATGTACAGGAGAAGCTGTGTGACTTGGCTTTCTGTAGGGTCTTCAGAAACCAAACTAATATAGTCCACCATCTCATAACTCATTAGAACATGCAGAAACCAAAGATTCCTACCATGATGATGACAACTCAGTAGAATCAGGATGAGCTCTGATGTCAGACAGGCATGGATTCAAATTACTTACCAGCTATGTTAACTTTCTAAGTAAGTTACTTAATTTCTCCAAGTATGCATTTCCTTAAAACTAACATTTATATATTCATTCAATCACCTAGTAAGGCTAACTATGTGTAAGTCCCTGGACTTAATGTTAATTTGTCTCACTATCTGTGAGTGGACTATACTGAGATCATCTAAAGAGTTCAATATCTGACCTATACAGAACAGTTTTTGACAAACCCCTGCTCTAGTGAGATAAGTTTCTAAAATTCCTTAAATCTGGAAAAGCTTTACAGTCATAACAAGAAACATAATGACAGATAAACAGGAAGACTCAGGCAAAATTCTCCCATTAGGAATACTGAAGACACTTGCCTCATAATATATATACACAGAAAAGAGTACTATGAAAAAATTGTACGTTATCATCACTTTCTTGAGTTCAAAGGGCTTTCGATTCTCCATTAACTTTGGTCCCAGAGATGTAACAAAATAGACATAGAGTACCAGGATGATGGTTTGTGGTAGAGGCGAGGACATGAGAAGCCAGTCTTCAACTCTTGGATCTAAGAGGAAAACAAGATGTAAGTGCACATCCACTTAGCCAAGAGATAACTGACAGCAACCAACATTTCTTTAAGTGAGCACCTAGACCTTGATGTTGACAATGGAGTTTTTGGGCAATGATCACTACTGTCTTCAGGGATACTGATGGGGCTAGAAACAGTGAGCCTGTTAGTATCCTAGGCTTCAGACGGCAAAGAGAGGTATGGTTACCAGAACCCAGGAGAGAGTCATATGGAAAAGCCCTGTGGAGAGGAGCTGTGACATTCAGCTGAGGGATTCGGCCAGCTCAAGGCAATTCTAAGTAAGGGGCCAACAGAACTGATACCCCAACACAATTCTCCTCACTTTAATCAGTTTCCTGGGGCTCTCCCCTGGCTGAAACTAACCAGAAACCAGAGGGCAGGGGAACAAGCCCATGGATATAGTCCATACTGGTCATTCTCCAGAGTCCAGCACAGCATGCAGAATGAACCTGCAGGACAGAAGACACCCAGCAAGCTCCCACCATCTATAACCGCTAGTAGCATTTTAGAGTTGCCCCATCCAGACATTCTTTTATATACAAAAATGTTTATGTTTTGTTTCTTAACTTTCTTCTTTTCTCAAGAAAACTGTGACATTTCCATATGTACCGAACCATAGAACTAAAAGCGACCTTAGCATCAGCTAAGTATCTAAAGTGTGGGTTCCAGGTGTCCAAAATGTGGGCTAACCAAACTGATATTTTGAGCAAAAACATATATTAGCTTCACAACACGTAAAGAATAAATTCATCCAATCACTGCTAGTTCCCGGCCAGGAGAGTTAGATGAATTAAAAATTGCAACTCAAGATGAAATGTGATTAATTCTATAATCATAAGTAGTTCAGGGGTAATTTTACTAAATTGCATCATAAACCCAGGGTACTATAAAGGAAAATAACAATAGACAAATTTCCAAGTGCATCTGAATCAAAATTGAGCCTTGACTAACCTTAGATCGCTAAATGCCATCACTTCTACCAACTGGAAAAGAGAGATGGGGGGAGAATACAGCCCTTGCTCATTTAAATTGCTAATGATATAGCCAAGTACTGAAAAATTTTGAATACCCTTCAAGTCTGACTTCCTACCCAATGCAAAAATTTTTTCAGTAGACTTTATGGTGAATGATTCCGTTGGCCTTGGTTTTATTGCTGGAGAGCTCCCATTTGACACCTGGATATACTAGGGCATGACTTTAACTATTAAAGATGATTTATTTTGCATTCAAATGGGCTACCTTCAAAAATACTGACAGATGTCCTATTTAAAAAATAAATTAGCCAAAAGTCAGCTCCAAAACAAACCCCAAGATATTCAGGAATTTAATATGATAAAGAAAGCTCCATAAACAAGAAGAGAAGGGAGATTATTCAACAAATGTTGATAGTAAAACTGACTACTTGGGGGGAAAAAATGAGTTTGTTCCTTACCACATATCTTATACAACTAAGTCCCAATCTATGCAATAGATGCAAGGGATTTAAAGTCTTTCTACAAAAGTAATGAGAGGCTACTGGGAATGCTAGGTTAAACAAACAAGTTGCTTTTCTGCAGGATTTCGTAGTGATTCATGTTCATAATGAATTGCCCTGATTTTTTTGTAGAATATCATTTAACATCTTGTAGAACTAATATTCTGTGGAACACAGTTTGGCCAAATAGCCCTTTGCTAAAATAAATTTATAAAATTAAAAATTAGATAGTGATAAAGGAAGATTAATAGGATCAGATCATTTTGAAATTCAGTAACGAAGTAGAAAACATAAAATTCTTAAATGGTTAAACATGGGACATTAGAGACAGATAAGAGTTAAGAAAAACACTGAAATTTTTGTTTTGATAACCATACCATCACTGAGACTAGGAATACAGGGTAAGGAGCAAGACTGGTCAGGGAAAGGTGGCTTGTTTTAGAACAGCTTACATTTGGGGTGCCTATAAAACATTCATCTGGAGACTTCCACGGGCACTTAGATATCTGGGTCTGGAAGACGAGAGAGATCTGGGCCAGAGGGTAGGTTTGCATCATCACACAAGTACTGAACAATAAAAGTGGTGAAACTAGCTTAGAAAAAGTGGGTAGAGTAAGGAAAGCAAATGACGAAAGTCATAATCTCGAGGACTCAGTGTTCAAAGGTGTGTGGAAGAAGGGAGAACTGTAAAGAAGCCTGAGGGGAGCAGCTGAAGAGGTAGATGTTAAGACCACAAAAGTGAGATCTCCTGAAGCCAAGGGAAGAGTGGATTTTTGGGAGGAGTCAAAGCATCAAACACAGCAGAGTGGGAAAGTAAAATGTGGACTGAAAAATGCCACTGGATTAAATAAAAACAAGTCATCGCAGGAACAATTTTAGTGAAGTATCGTGCACTAAAATAGAAATTCAACAAAAGTTTGCTGACATTCAAAAAAGCACAGTTCTCAAAATTAAAAATTTCTTAAAAAAATTTAAGATTGTCACAGTTTTAAATCAGGAAAAGCTTTGAAATCAGGACATGTCACTATCAAGTATATGTCACTAAAGTCTTTTATTGCTCTATTAGTTCCCTTCTCTCCTTTTTACAAATTTCCTGGGACATCTGTGTGCCATATGCTATTAAAAAGGCCACAAGGAACCCTAGCCACAAGTCCATACCTCACTAGGGAAGTCTCAGTAAATGAAAGCTGTCCCACCAAGGAACAGAATTAGAATTGATCAAACTCTGATGGGTTTCTTCTATCAGTGAGTAATCTACACTTTCAATACATGAATATCATAAACCATTAATCCATCGGGTTTCATCCCCAATAAAATAAGGTCTTAAAACCAGTATCGAAAGAAAATCTCTAGAAAGATGTTAACATTATTATCTTTGGATGACGAAAGTAAGGTGATTTTTACTTTTTTCTTTTTCTTTATAAGCAATTTTAAATGTTTCTGTTATTAACAGACATCACATGTATGGTTGAAAACTAGGGATTTTTAAAGTATCAGTAAAGGAATTCCTGAATTAGAGACATATTCATTTTACTCTTTCATTGACTCAGCAGGGGGGAGAAAATCAAATGACATCATGTTTCTGTTATTCCACTGGTACCAGTAGACACAAAACAAGTCGCCTAAAACATGCTGGGCTGGTTCAGGAAGAAGTAAAGAATTTTAAAATAAATAACTTCTTCCTGTAATTTAACATTTTAAGCACACGCCTTTTAAAAAAAATCCTGTATGTGACTTTTAAGTTCTGTGAATTAAAAAAAAAAAAAAAAAATCAGTATACCCTTTGGGAAAAGCTAGTAAGTTTGATTTCCTATTATTTTAAAGCAAATAATAAAACAAAACGCTAAGCTTTTTAATCCTATTTTAACAAAGCTCTGGAGTCAGCTAGCCTGGGTTTTGATCTTGGCTCCCCTACTGACTACATTATGTGACCTGGGGCCATTGACTTAACTTCTCTTTGCTTAGTTTCCTCACCTGTGAATTGGGCATAAAATAGCCTGTATTTCATAGAAGATTTAGTGAGTTATTGTGTGGAAAGGGCCCAACACAGCCCAAGTGCTTAGTAAGTGTTGCTGCTATTATTATGGCAGATCTCAATTCTGTCAGCACAGCAGAATCACCTCTGGAGTGTATAAAAATCAAGTGGCCAAAAAATGATTCTGTTCCAACTGAATCAGAATCCTAGAGCATGGGTCCCAGGCATCCATATTTTAATAAAACCTGCCCATGTAACTTTGATGAACTGTCAGAGTTGAGAACCAGGGCTTCTGAGCTTCTTTCTTCTGCATTTAGGACCTCAAAGTCCCTCAGTAGGTGCTCTGCAGTGGTCCGTTATGTGGTTTTTCTGCCTCCTGATCCAATCTGCTACATCTGGCCTTCCACAAAACTGCCAAATTCACTACCTAAGATTATTCCTCTGCTTAAATTAGCTCTCTCTACTGAGCAGATAAAATTCAAAGTCTTTAATATTATGCTCAAGATTCCGGCTATTGTTAATGACTGACAACTGGTTTATTTCCCCTGCCTCCATTCTCAGCAACAGTTACACCCTACTGAATGGGGAGCCCACTTCCACATGAGGCAGTGGACTCCCCATGATGAGAAGTTTACAAGTCAGGTGTGGATGGTGACTTGGTAGGGAGGGTTATAGAGGGGACTGTTCGAGGACATTTAAAATTAATCCTGACTCAATCTGTGATTCCACAAATTACAAAAGGTTCAGGCTTGAGGTGAACTCTGTTTTTTCTAGAGACAAAAAGTTGATGATGCATCTTCTATTTGGCAACAGAATTAGGTTTAAGTGTCATGAATAGAGCTGAGAAGAAAGCAGAGAATAGGGACACAGGCTGTCTGAGAATCCATACCCCATAGATTACCAAAATTCTGATTTATTACTAGCCTGATCTTTTTTTTTCTAAGAGTGAGAGAGAGACAGAAAGAGAGAGCGAGCGAGAGAGAGAGAACAGAGGAAGTACAAGTGCCACATATATAGAATGCTAATGAACTTTTCCATCAACTACTTGTAAGACAGTGTTCTCTTCTTAAGTAGCATGTATTAGCTCGAAGAGTACATCTTTCAAATGACAAGCCCCAGTAAGATGAAAAAGCTGGGAAGAAAAGCAAGCATGTACCTTTAGTACTGTGCGAAATACTAAAGGTTCAGAATGTCAACACTCTTACTTAGACTCTATCTTCTTACAAAGAGATCAGTCTGAAAAGTCATTATTACTATCCACAAGGAGGAAAATTGCTTTTTAAACATGAAAAATATTATAGCATTATTCCAAAATTTGACATTTCATAGCTAAGAATCATAATAAATCCTCTTACAGCTTAAGTATTAATTAAACCATTTTTAAATTCTGTAGCTATGGAATTTTCCACACAAAATAACTATGCATTACCACCACTTCTCTAGCCATCAGAAAACCAAAGAATATCAGTGAGTTTCCTGAAGGCTACTCAGGATTAGGGCCAAAGCCAAGAACACATTTGAAATACTTGGCCCTTGATCAGGGATTCAGACCTTCCCAGGGTAAGCAAAATAAAACTGAATTAAGACGGCCAGAAATGATTCCTAATGGCTTGCAGAGATCAATAACACACAAAGCAAAAGCAAAAACCTCTCCTCTTAAACCTGAAAGTATTCTTATAAAGATGTAAATCCCAAAACAAAACTTTTTAACCCTCCTAGAGCCCAACAAGAAAAAATAATTGTGAAGAAAACTTTTTTAAAAGGTGATATGCTATATTAAAATTATGTTAAGAGGAACACACTCTATCCATCATTTGTAACCACCACCACCACCACCATTTGTGTTGGGGTACCTCCCAAATGACAGAGCACTTTCACGCATATTTTCTGGTAGCTGGTAGATATCATACTCACCTCCGTTTTGCTAACAAAGAAACTGAGATTCGCAAACAATAAAGCATTCATTCAAGGTCACCCAGCTAATCCACAGGAGTGTCAGTTCAATTTAGGTCTTCTCATTATACATCCCATACCTTCCTTCCCCTCTCAAGACTTCAAATTAGCTAATTTCAGATATGTAGCACTCACTGCCTCTTCCTCTCACCTTCCTGCACCGTTTAATGCAACTCTGCTTCTGGGGCTCTCCCTAACCAGCCCCGCCCCTGGTCATTCTTTTTTCTGACCTAATATTATTCAGCTTTTAAATATAGGTATTTCCAATAAAAAGTAAAGAGCTGATCCATGGATAAAAGTAGAAGTGGAATTTAGAAGTAAGTTCATTTGTAAATATTTTATACTTCTAGCACTATATAGACAGTCATCATCATCTAAATCGATTTGGCTCTTGAGTTAGCATAATGATTACTTGAATCCCTTGGGTTCCTGCATTTGAAATAGTGAATAGCGAAAGTTGTATAGCAAGGGTTCTATTCTTCCCAACAAGTCTACGTCAAAAAATGTACCCAAATCTACTTGGTTCCCAAGCTCAAATCATGAGAGTTCAGGTAGCAAGGTACACCTCTACTTGATAAAGCTATTAAAATATTAGTATTAAAAAATAAATAAAAATAAAAACCATTAGAAAAGAACAAAAAATATTAGTATTTAAGTTAAATACTGAATTTGAGAACTCCTATAAACCTTTAGAGAAGGATGATCTCTGAAGAAATCTATATATTCTCTGCATCATCATAAGTTGAAAAAACTAAAAAAGAAGAAAATATGGAAACAGCCACTGTCCATTCCCCTAGCAGAGTGAAGCATCTCTATTTATGAGTATTTTTTATATCCTTGGCATTCTTCAGGAGAAAAACTATTTATGAGACCTTTTTTAATGAAATAAAATTGGTCTTTAGCAGTCTACTGAAAATGATGGCAACCATGAAACAGTGTATCTTTGCTGAAATCAGTGTAAACTTGAATATAATTCCAATTGTGGTAGGTGTCAAGAGGTGGCACTTTTCCCTCCTGAATTTGGTGAACATGCAATTTCTGGTTGATAGATAAAAACTAATCTAAAGTGGTAATGGTGGTACACATGTGTAAAATAATTCAAATGTGAAATACCGGAATACTAATCCAATTCAGAAAACATAGGTTCCAGTTTTTTCTGCCAACAACAAACCATGATGTTGGGAAGATCATATCTCTGGGCCTCAGTTTCTTCAACTCTAAAATGAGGCGTTAGCTTTGATGATATCTAGGTCCATCTCAGCTCTAAAATGCTCTGATTCCTTGTCTATTTAAAAAATAATTTACCTTTGTTATGTTTTTAGAACATTTTATAATAGTTATAAAAGCAACACACATTTAGTGGTTTACTAAAATCTAGATAGACATAGGTAAGTAAATAGGAGCTACTGATGATTCTACACAGAAATAACTGCTGACCCTCATAAAAGAAATATGTGGCATTTATAACCTGTTTTCATGTAAGGTATTTTGAACTTCTTGCTGTGATAGTAAATGTTATTCTGTAACATTGATTTTTTTTTAATGGGCAAGGGGAGAAGGAAGGGATTTCAGAATTATTTTGGGGGTTACTCCACGAAACACTCCCTGCCCTTTCTGATACACCCCTGGGGTATCAAGAACCATCCTAGACAGGGCCACTAGGCAGTAACTATTATTTCCCCTAGGAGCAGAGTAGGGCAGAATCAGGCCTAAGAGCACCGTGCCTCCAAAATCACTTTTAATGGCTACTGAGTTGGAATGCACCATCATTTACTAACCAATTATCTTCACTGGATATTAAAACTATTTTCTCTATTATAGATGTCATAATGAACATCTGTGGAGCTCTATTACCAATTGGTAATAAAAATAATATTTGGGGTGTCCTTGAGGGAGGGTTAAGCTGCAAAGTCTCTCATTCTGCTTCAAAGAAATCCTATTAAATATTGGATTCCAACATAAAAAGGAAGGATGAGCATCAATTAGGAAATATGGTTACTTACCAGCATCTTTGATCCAATTATCATAAAGACTCACGGTCCTCGATGTAAAATCACTGAAGACCATTTTCCACAGGATTTACTGGCTCTTACAGTGGGTTCTTCAGTAAAACAAAAAAGAAGTGCATTATGATCTATAAATGAAAATAAAGCCAAGTTTCTAGTAATATAATATTAAAAATGCTAAAAATTTAATAAGAATAACTGGCAAACCAACACACTTTTACTGAGGGTAAATGCATTAGTGAACCACATTAAACCCTGATATAGTCACAAACATTTCAGACTTCTTTCAGCATTGTAAGAGCAATGCTTGCATTCCTGAAAAAGAGTGACATTCTATATACAAGATACAAAAGGAATCAATGCTTCTAAGGACTTTCATGGGAGCATCTCCCTTTTATGTGACAACATAGATTAGGAATGAACTGTACCTCCCATGGCAATGCTGAAGTTAAAAACCCAAGAGAAGAATGTCAAGAAGATATATAAACTTTCAGAGAAGCTACTCTGATTCAGATTTATAGCTGATCTTCGGGCATGATAAGGTCTTCTACATGTGAGTTTTTACAATTTAAGTAGAGTAGAAAGAGGAAGAAAAAGAAGATTTACAAGAGCCAAGGAAAAGCTGCCTAGTTTATCTGAACAGATAGACAATAATAGTAGAAAAAAGAAGTCTTCTGAAAAAGAAGACCAGGGAGGGGAAACTACCTTGTATTATATATTAAAAGATATTCTAAATCTTCAACATTTAAAATAGTAAGACATTGACTCATGAAGAGGCAAACCAATGAAATACAGAAGAATGTCCAGAAACATACCAAATACACTTGGGAATTTAGAACAGTTATTTCATAAATTCTTTCCCATATTTTAACATCTCTGAAATCAGCACACACCTTAAAAGTGGATGGTATATCATAAAATGAATAGTATATTTGATTCCAAGTCATATGGTGGGAAGAAGAAAAAGTTCTGGAGATGGATGGTGGTGACGTTTGCACAATAATGCAAATGTCCTTAATGCCACTAAACTTTACACTTAAAGAGGGTTAAAATGGTATATTTTACATCATGTATACTTTACCACAATAAAAAGGAAATTCTCTAGTAGATAATAGGAAAACTCAGACTTTCTTCTAGCATTCTAAAATAAAGCCATTTTAGAATATACATGTATATTCTAAATGTACGCATATATGCCTATATACAGGCATATGGTATTGATAAAGGTGGTACCTCAAACCAGTGGGCACCAAACTACTAGCAGTTATTTAATAAATGGTGTGGTACAACTGGATAGCCAGCTGAAAAAAAAATTGGATCCAAACATTATACTATAAACCAAGAGAAACTCCAAGCAGATCAAAGATTTAAGAAAAATAAAGACATGAAAGTACAGAATGACAACATGGAAGAACACTTTATAACCTTGTAGTGGGGAAGCCCTTTCTAACTTTGACTTAAGATCTACAGACATAAGAGAAGACTAATGAATTTAACCATATGAAAATCAAGACGAAAAAACAAAAAGCCAAATGACAAACAGGAAAAAAAATGTTTAACTTATATCACAGACAATTGCTACTGTCCCAAATATATAAAGAGTTTCTAGAAATTGATATGACCTATAAACCAAGAAAAAAAGAAATGGGAAAATTTCACTGAAAAAGAAAAACAAATAGATCTTAAAACACATAAAAAGTTGCTTGACTTTAATCATAGTAAGAAATCTACAATATTTTATTGCATTGGATGTGCCCAAGTCTAAATATTTTTTTGTCAATCAGATGGGCCCAAATCCAAAAATATGCTAACTCTGTGGGCAGGACTATGGTAAACACATACATTGCTGGTGGGAGTGCAAATTACTATAACACTTAGTGAGGGTAATTTGGCATTATTAGTAAAAATTATAAATGCATATTTTAAACCCAGCAATCCTACTTCTAGAAACTTATAAATAACATATGCATTTGCAGAATGACATATATTCAAAGTTATTCATTGCATCAGTGAGAACGAAGGACTGGAAACAAGCCAAATATCTACTAAAGGAGGACTGGTTAATAAATAATAATACATCTAACACCATGAAATAGTATGCTATTGCAAATAAGAATGAGGAAGCTCTGCGTGCTGATATAAAAAGGTATCCAGGATAAATTTCTATGTAAAAAAAGCAAAGGAAGGTATAGAATTTTAAAATAATTACCTTTAATATAGAAAAAATGGAAAAGAGTAGAATACAAATTTACATGTTTTTATAGCATAAAAGGAACTCTGAAAAGTTATCCATGGGAAAGGGAATGGGGTAGAAACTGGGCTGAAAAGATGGGTAAAAGGAAGACTTTATATTATTTGTTTTTATGATTCACATGAATATATTACCTATCCAAAAAAAAAAAAATTAAAATATTTTCAAGGAAAAATTAAAAGACTAGAATCAGTTACATCTTTACTGAGACAATTTGTACTTAAATACCCCCAAACAAATGCACATATACACAAAAGAGGGATTGTTATCTTAATTCCTCAAGGGTCTATCCCCACCAGAGGATCTCTCCAGGTCCAGGTAGGTATCTCAGGATGGCCTCTACTTTGTCCTCAAGCTGAGTTCACATTTAAGACTGGCTGTGGTAATGCCAGGGTCTTGCCAGAGTTGGCCTGGACTCTTGGTTTCCTGTGGATCATCTCTATAGTGAAGGTATGATGTGGAGTTAGGAGCAAGGGCTCTGGGGTCACAAAGCCCTTGATTTGAATCTTACCACTTAATAGCTGTGTGACCCTGGGCGAAATTCAAGCTCAATGGCATAATCTGTAAAATGGTAATTCTACAACTTACCAAGATAAAATAAACCAACTCACAGAGTTGTTTTGAGGACCATATGAGATAACATATATTTGTAAAGTTTAGAGCACAGAATCTGTTAAAGAATCAACATTCAAAGTCAGACATTATCATTCATAGAGACAAGTTGTATTAATTTAATTGGAAGACATCTGGCCAAACTCATTATCTTATACAGTTGAATGGCAGTTTATGGAACAAATCTAAAGAAAATTCTACTACGAACTCTACTACTTTTATTTTCAGAGCTGGTATGTTACAGATTATATATGATTCTTCCCTTGATGTTTTCTAATTGTCTTGATGTGAGTGTTTTAGACCACACTAATAGCTACTTTCCCCCATTTTAACCACTGATACAATAGGCCTCAAGCCATTATTTTCATAATTAAACTGCCTAAATAATACCGTTTAAATTATTCGGAACCAGAGTGAAAGATTCTAATTTTACATGGCATATGATGGCATTACATTTCAAAGTATTTTTCTGTTCTCTGTGCAATTCCCGTCTTTTTTTCCCTTTTTTTTTTTTCACTCAATACACCACTTTCCTCTCCGCAACCTTTACTGAAGCACAAAGACTCAAAGAAACCACAGTCAAATGCAGATCAGAAATACTGACAGCAAATAGAACTAAGTTCTCTAATCCCAAAGATTATACAAGACTGAAGTGGAGGAAGAGGAAAGGTAATTATAGGAGTGATTTACACTGGATGAGGAGTGGCAGAAACAGACATCTTCCAAGCAGGCGAGAGTTGGAGGACTAGAGAGGTAGGGAAGATATCCATCAGCCCAGCTTTCTGGAGTGGAGACTCACTGATTCTTTCATTGCAGATAACCTAACATCCAATAGTCCTTAACACTGTGGGCCCACCAAAGGAGAAGGAATGGCCATAATTTTGTAGGAATAGGGCATCAAAGAAAAATCTGATCATTTTACCTTGAAAGTCAACACAAACTGCTGAGAACTTCCTTGTAAGCTGAAGCAGTGATGGACTGGATGCCAACATTACATCGTAGGGTTTGGTCTAGAAAATTAATGACTAAATTTAGGGCAACCTGAGTTGTCTGCAAATATAGTGCTATCGTTGGACTACAGCCAGGCATATCTCCCTCAACCCTGCCCTTTCCCATGATTTAACATGGACAATTGATTGCTAGACAATGGTACACAGAGATGGGAAGAAAATTATTCTATGTGGTGAAGGTGTAGAGATATTGTCTAGCTGACAGCAGAACTGGGACCTTATTAAAATACTCAATGGCATAAAAGTTCAGGGCTGGAAATGCCAGAAAAGCCAGAGCTCTCATGTATGTGAAGCAGAGACTTAAAACTCAAAAACAGTAGACAAATCATACTTCCATTAAGGGTGGAAGAAACAAGACGGGTGGGTGCTATAGGGGAAGAGAAAAAAGCTCCTGTCAGAGCTCAGTCTGCCTCCAAAGACCTCAAAAACATGTGGCAGGATTAAACAGGAGTTTGTTGATGGGGGACTAGTGCTGGTATCCCATTGCCCAGCACCTGCAGCTGACCCATTAATCTTGCTTTTGTTTTTGACACTATCACATAGTGACTGAGTCATTTGGTAAAGAAGGGACTTAATCAGCACAGACTAGCTTCTTTATGCCTGCATTAAAGATGTCAAGTTCAAATGTGAGGAGTGTCCCTGCTCTAGGAGAAGGCCCTTCACACAGGGCAGCTTACCAAGGCCGCTTAAGGCAACGCAGCATTGATACTAACACCAGAACACAGAGAGTGTGCTTGAGGTATCCGATCACTTCATCCACTTTGCTCCAATCTATCTCCACAGTAATCAGAAGGGAGAATTCATCTGGGAGAACTTCTTGTTGAATTCACTCAGACAGGGATGGACCTTGAAATTACCTGTGACAGGAAGTGCCTAGTAGGAGTCCAGAAATCTAAAAACATTTCCAGATGGACCCTCAAATGCAGAGATTTTTCCAAACCCTGCAAAATGTGTTGGGGACACTCTACCTGGGAAAAAGGGGTAGTAGGAAAAGGGGTAGTAGAGTCAGCCTATGGCTTTTCAGGAACAAGGCCATAAGATTTTCTTTCTTTTGATATTTGGGAGGTTCTGGGCTCCCCACTGATTCTGCTTTGGAAATCAGACATCAGTGATGAACCTTCAAGAACAGATCTGGCTAGCCACAGATGCTGCTCAGCGACACATAAACCAAAATGTGCTACAGAAAGGTGTCAGCAAAAGGAGGTTTGCAATGAAACTGGGG